TCGTCAAAATTCATGTCTATCAGGATTACAACAAACTGGACAATTATACACCACCAACGAACGAATGGCCCCGGGCGAAGTGTTCGGTCTGACCCTTTTCTGATGCCAAAAACACTAAGAACAATGATAATAATACTAATACTAATAGTACCTATGATAATATGACTTTATATTATTTATTCATTCATCTGTTCACTGGCACTTCCTGGTGGTAGCTGTTTTTTTCTATTTTTTCTTCTGATAATTGATTTTTTGATCCTTCCCCGTCCTCCGCATGACCGACCACTATCTTTGTGGTTGTTTTTTTCCATCACATTCGTTTCAACTCACGTTTTCATACACACACACACACACCCCTTCTCGTCAACAGATCAACTACTCGCCCAAATCGCAATCATACACTAGACATTGTGGTAATCACATGTGATCCCGTTGTCTTTTTCGCATTACGTGCGTGCGTGCGTGCTATTTGCATCCTGTTGACCTTCATCACATCGTTCTTATCGACTACCAGGAGCTTTTAGTTTTGCTTACGTTCTTGTAGCAAAACTATTCCTGTTTACGGACACTTTCCTCCGTGTATCGGTCTTTTTTTCTGGTGCTTTGTGAATCTCTCTTTTGTTGGTGTTTTTTTTTTCTTTCGAAATTTTTAATGCTTATTCACATCAGAATTTGATCCACTCCAGCCACCTTCCTTGTAAACACATACACACACACAGACTGAAGATGTGCCGTATTGAGCTTGGCAGTTATTCACCTATGGATGTTTTTTTGGGTCTCCCTTGCATAGGTTTAATCCTCACTGAACACCCTCTCACTCACAGCGTGTTCTAGCGTACCAATCCCGACCAACTCTCACCATCCTCAGTGAGATTGTGCACGACCGATTCCATGGTTGCGGACACACTGGAGTCTACCGTTGGATTACAACTATCCCGTTTTTCCATTCCGTCTCTCTCTCAATCAAGCAAAGCTTGTCTTGATTAAGGCAGCTCGTTCACATGTCTTCTGTACCCCCATCCCGTCCTTTTCACCTCCAATTATTTTCGAGGCTGAACAAATTTCTTGATATAATACACTTTTCGTGCTCCTCTCCCAGTCAGTCAGTCAACTGTATGCGAACTGTGGTTCGGTTGCAGAACGCCATTTCGAAATATATTCCCGCCCTCAGTGATGAGCTTAACTGTGTCCGTATGTTTGTCTAAAATACCTATTCTTTCTGTTCCCCGTCTGGTCACTCTTCCCGTTTGTGTACATTTCTAGAAATGAGAAAGCTACTTTATTGTTGTCTTTGTTCAGTTTTCGGACAAGGATGACCTAATCCCAAGTGCCGCATCATCTGCGTTAGGAAACAGGATCTCGTCTTTTTCATCCTTGTCTTCTGATCCACACACACACAATCCGATCTCCCCGCCATTCTTTTTGCGAACGGACGCTCTCTCTCCCGCCCTCGATTTTCGCGCTCACATATGAGCACACAAGTGTATTGGTTCATACACTCACCTCACCCCCGCGCTCCTCTGGTTCGAGTTCCTTTCTGCTTGTCCTAGTATGCACACGCGTACTTGCATATATATATATATATCCATCCTGTTCTTTCCAATTCACCAGGTAGCACGGGATGTTCCGTTTCTTCCTTGCTCTCCAGTTGAAAATCAAAGATGGGCCGTGTTCACTCATTGTGCAACTTTGGTGTTTTCGTTAAACTCATATCTGTGCAGCAGCAGCAATATCACCACCACTGCCCATCTTCCACCTTCTGCTGCTGTTTGTTCGTCCAGTTCGAATTGGTAACCCCGTCCCGAATTTGAACACACACACTTCGCTCGAGTTTCGCAACCTAGTCCAATTTGCAAGTACATAACAGTTGACCCGATAGAGTATCATCCACTTCATCACGATCCGCCAGTCATGTGGGTCGACCGATTCCCACGGTTAGTCAGACTGAGCCTATTTTCTCCCTCCGGTTCTAACTTGTTCTATGCTAAAAGCTCCGTATTTCTCATCCATCCATCGGTCCATTTTTGTCTATCATCCCTAATCCATTTACTCGACACCCATCCACCCACCCACTCATTCAAGCAAAAACAACAACGACAGCACACCTAAATTCCGTCTACGCACACAGATTAATGCTGTGTTCTTTTCGATCGTGCGCTACCCGTCGTCCCACACCGGTTGGTGCACGTGATTCCCGTGGAGATTCATTTCGAT